CCTCCACCGCTACCAATGTGCAGCCCCACCTGGATGATGCAACGGCAGCCATAGTGCGCCAGAACGCTCACCACACATCAGCTCTCAGTGGGGAGGAGAGCAGAGTAATGAAGCCAGTGCAGAGATGGGGATTATTAGGAAGCCATGATTGGTAAGGGCTAATGGGAAATTTGGCCAGGATGCCAGGGTTACACCCCTACTCTTTTTCGAGAAACGCCCTGGGATTTTAAATGACCACAGAGATTCAGGACCTCGGTTTTACATCTCCTCTGAAGGACGGCGCCTGTTTACAGTATAGTGTCCCCATCACTATACTGGGGCATTAGGACCCACATGGACCTCAGGGTGAGCACCCCCTGCAGGCCCCACAAACACCTCTTCCAGCAGCATCCTTAGTTTTTCCCAGGAGGTCTCCCATCCAGGTACTGACCAGGTTCACACCTGCTGAGCTTCAGTGGGTTGCCAGTTGTGAGTTGCAGCTGCTGCTAAATGAATGGCAATAGTATTGTTATTAAGTTATGAGAATATGGGAAGGGAATTAATACGAATGTTGTTTAGCAATGCTAAGTCAAGAAAAGAAGACAAACTTTTAAAAAAAGTTAAAAGAAGGGTTGTGCGACAAGCAAAAAGGGTAAAAAAACAGGTAGTGATGGGCTGCGAGAGGTGGTGATGACGGAGAAGAATGTGAGGTGTGGAGAGGACAGAAGTATAAGCCTGGATGGGTGATAGAAGAAAGAACTGGAGTATAAATGTAAAGAATAACCTTCTGCCTTCCACCTTATAACCCTGGTGAGGCAAGAAAGAATAATACAGCACACAACAGTAGAGAACGTGTGCTCAAAAGTACGATAAGCAAAAAAAAAATTGATTGCAATCTGATTGGAAGTAACAAACATTGCTTGTTGGAAAAAAACTGAATGGAATACGTGATACTGTGTTTATTAAAAGTTACACAGCTGTTAAAATAGATACATGTAAAAGTAAAATGGACGCTGTCATTTCGTATAGTTTTCACTGGAATGTTATTTTGTTCAATCTTTTTATCTGTTATCTACCCGTAGAGTCTACAGTTTTAATCGATAATTTACTACTTATGTCTGTGAAACACAGTGAGAGGGAGCTCCCATTGCCTTTCCTCATTCACACTAATCAAAGCCACTGATGAGGAAAGAAAGAGTTGAGTAACTATAAATCATTTCCCTCTTCAGGTAAAAAGTGTATAAAACACAATTGTGATTTGCAGAAAACTTGTCAATGATTTATTATGACAAAAGTATTTTCCGGTCAGATTTGAGTGTATTTGTTAAATTATATCGAGTTATTAGAACAAAGTTGGTAGCGCCAATCCTCATGGTTAGCATAAATGCCATGTATTTGGTATATTAAATGAAATGTGAATGTTTTAGTGATTAGCAATTTAGTTAATGTTCGGTAATAGCCTTAGATTATTTCACTGTTCCTGGTTTTCTTTATTTATTGGTGTTTTTTATAATAACCAAAGTGCTCCACATTTATATTGCTAG